TCTATCTATCTATCTATCTATCTATCTATCTATCTATCTATCTATCTGCTTTTTCTTCTGCACAAGCTAATACTACTTAGTATTTTTAAGGATTCCTTCTCACTATAACACATTTACTTCCATCTTCTTTCACTGCACAGTGATACAGTCATTGCTGCAGTGTCAGAAATAGTATCTTTATAGTATCTTTAGTATAAGTCATAAGAAAGTCCTGAGGACATGTGCCCAGGACCATACAGTTATTCTGCAGTAGTAATTTAGCATCTAGCACAAATTAAATATTTGAACTTTATTTACATTAATTTCATTTTTTTCATTCATAGTTTTGAAATCCTTTTCTTGATAGATGCCTTTTTTCTCTCATTTTATGATTAGACTTTATTTGAATGACTGTGGGCAACAATGCTTCTCAAATACCACTTTCTAAGCTGGGATAAAATGTTCCTGGGAAGTATCATTATACCCAGTTCAAAAGCTTCTCAGATCTTAGGCCAAACTGGTGCCCTCCAGATGTAATGGACACTAATACTTATCATTCCAGCTAGCAATTTATAGGGGTGGCTGATCTAGCCCAAACTTCCTTATTTTATCATCCTTATATGTTAGCTGACTTTCTTTCAAACTAGTTTCCTGTCTCATATTCTTTGGAATTGCACAAAAACATCCCTACTTAAAGCAAATATTAATTAATAATTTTATGTAGTTATTGTATCAGCACAATCTTACAAAATCTATTCTTAATTATCAATGAGATTTGCTTCCAAATAAAAAGGCAAAGCACAGATGGTACATCTGCAGTCTCCCAGATTTTTTGGATTATAGTTTCCAGCATTCTGAACCATCATGATCGGTGGAAAGGACCTGCAAGGGACTTGCAGTTTTAATAACTATATATGAATCACATAAATCATATTTTCCCATATCTTATTTTAATGATAAGTCATAGCAGCCTGGTTCACATACTGTCTTAAGAGGTAAAGTATGGTTCATGAATCACACTGTGAAGTATGATTACTCGTCCAAAGTCAAATCAACCAGGTTATGATTTAGCACAAATGTGTGGACACAGTTTTGATATATTTGCTGGTTCTCCTGTGTCTGTAATAGGAAACTATCTCCAGCAGAGGAGTCTCCATTTTAAAAATTAACTTTGGGATTTCTGCACAAAAAGGATACATTCTACCCGAGTTAAGGCCCTTTCCTGGTCATAGTGGTATGTTTCACATTGTTTGTAGACTGCATAGTAATGCAATACTTGTAGCCACCAACGTGCTTGTCATTTTCTCCCCTTATATTTGTTAAACTTACTGTACCATTTGACATTTATTTTTTAAAAGATAGAGAATAAGATATTGGAGTTCTCTAACATTATCTTTATTTCTAGAAGTAATTCTGGACTCGTGGCTGCAGAGACTATTCTTAGAGATGATGAGTGGCTAGCCCCAGTGCTCTGGAAATATGTACATCTTTCCAGAAAAAACAAAAAGCAAAAAAAAAACAAATAGCTAAGTTAAGGTGCTAAACTATCTGATCACAATCACCATTTAGTCTTGGATAGATGAGTATCTGTAAGAGACTGTTTGTACATGGCCAAGTCTACTTTGCATCTTCTTTACTGAGCCTGTTCACAATAGGTTTCAAAATCTCACATATCCACAGAGGCTTCCTGCTTCCGGTGATTTACATGACCTGAGGTTTTATTAAGCTCTTTCCTCCATAACAAGCAACAATCCCCTAGTTGTGTTCTAATGCCATTGGTTGCTGTTTAAGAGTAGCACATAGAACTGACCCATAGGGATGCTTTCTGCTATATAGATTGGTGTGCCCACTCAAAATGGAAAAAGATCTGCAACAAAAGTATGTTGTTAATGTTAATGGTGCTTCTGTTTAATTTAGTAAAAATTGCACATACATTCTTGGTGGACTGTGCCTACTTCAGTTTCATTAGTCCGATGGGTCTGTCTGAACAACTGTTAAAAATCTGGCTATTGTTTCATAGTGTGGGAGATATCCATAAAATCCATTTCATAGTGAGGGAGATATCCATAAAACTGAGACATACAAACATTGCACTATTTTAAAGAATTGTTTTGCCAAGTGTTTAAATGGTATACAAAGTAAAGTTTTCTGTTAAATATATTATTTGTGTTTGAAAAAAACTTACGAAGCTAATGTTTTCATTTTTGTTTTAAACTATAAAAGGGAGAACAACTTCAATATATATTGCTTAAATGCTTTTAAGGTTTGTTTGTTTTTTTGACACAAAAGCCATCTATGTGAAAAAATATCTTTATTTTAATTAAATATCCATGTTTTGAAAAAAGATGTTGTAATCTTTGTGCTACAATAAAGTATTGTAGGGTAGTAATGACTAATGTGGTTTTTAACTCAAGGTGCCCAGTATACTCAGAGAGAAAACTATTGTGCCTGTAACTGAATAAATGGAGTAATTTGGTTGAAATACTCACAAGAAACACAAGCTACAGAGTATACACTAATAAATATTTGCAAAAGGAACCCTTGGGCCAAGTGTGAAACACAATGAGGCAGATATAAATAGGTATTCCATCACACCAGTGTGGCTATTTCACTTGTCAAACATGTGACACATTTTACACACCTGTCTTAATGCAATTTGGGTTTTTTTTCCTCTGAGTAATTTTAATACATGCCTCTTGGCAATTTCAACTTTTGCGTACTGTAAAATACAATGTATTTCAAAGTTGTACCACTATCAGCCTTATTTGTGGACTACTATTTAAAAAACAACCAGCTGATATGACATTCCCAAATAGCAACTATGTTTTCCTGTTTTTGTTTTGCTGTTTTTCTCAGTCAGCAGCGGATTTTTTTTTTTAATATGATGCCTTATGTATGCAAGATATATTGATACATATTGTGCCATATAGAAAGCTGTTAAAACTATTGCTTTTTAATATAGTTTTTATTTTTGGTAATTTAATTCTTTACAAATGAAAAGAATGATGTCTAATGCATATTAGGTTTGTATTTTAAGGCAGTAACTCAAACAATTCCATAATGCTATAAGATACCATAGCTTATTTTTGAATGTCCACACATAGATTTGTAGATCTTATTAAACCTGGATGATTCCTTCTATGCTTTCTATTCCATTGTCACTAATTTTCAGTAAATAAATGGGAAGGAAAGCATTCAAATTAGGAAAAATTAATGAGAGTTTATAAATGAGAATAGATGAGTTGGTGTGTGGGTGGATGGGTTGATAAATGGGGCAGAATTGTGCCACAGTAACAATATTGCTTTGATTAGAAGAGAATATTGCCTTTCCCAAAACAGGTAAATCACATATTTCTGACAACCATTCTTGGAGATTTGAAATAATATTATTAAATTTATCCATCCAGAACATTATCTGATTCTTTGGACATTCTGCCACACTACTCATTTTCCTTGAAGTTACTCTATTCTCTGGAACAAGTAGGAACAAGAATGAAAAAAAAAAACGAGCATTCTTCACTTGTATTCTTCTAAGTATTTTACCTTAGAGCATTGGACCAAGCACTAATATACATTAAGAATAAATTAAAAACAGCCACTTGCATTCATTTTAATTACTTGCTTTAATTTTGCTTTATGCGAAGGGCATTCTGTCAGTGGTTATATAATGCCAGGTGTATTGTGAGCTCACATTAAATGTGTATAACTTTTACTTGTTTCCCATTCCTTGCAACAGAAGCTTAAGAAAAATCAGTCCCTGCCATCTCATATATTCACAATGCAGTCAGCAGAGAGCGCTCAAATGTCAATATTTTTTCATCCTGGATAGGCATCTTCGCAACCTATAGCCAGGTGGTTTGTTCTCTCTAACCCAAAATGGCGAGATCTCCAACTCTCTCTCTCTAATTTCAAATGTCTCAAAAAGAGTCCCTCTTTCCCACAGCAGAGAACACAGTTCAGACCATCCAGTGCTAACA